GCGCTCCCCACGTGAGGAGTGGCCCTGCTGTTCCTATTCCCCCACAGACCTGGTTGTCTCTGTGTATGTTTTTAGCATGTTTTGACGAGCATCCGCAGCCGAGATGGATACTGCAGGCAGGTATCATTCACAATTGACTATTATAAATTCAAATTAAGCTTTGTTTTTGAGGACTATTATTTTTATTGTTGATTCTATTGTTCAAAGCTCCAATAATTTAAGTGATTAGATTACTCTTAAATGTATAATAATGGACATATTCAGCAATTTTAATACTACATGAAGTTTTGTTTAATACATATTGTCAAATAAATGCTAGATATTGCTGTAGTGTTCTGTATTCACTGAAATTCCAGAGGAAAAGCCAAAGAAGCATTAAACATTTGACTAATTTCACTTTAAAGTATTAAAATGCAGGACTTTTAAAGAACCCTTCTATTTATGTAGGGGTTTATTTATTTTAAAAAAATATTTATTTACCTATTTAATTTTAGAGAGAGAGGAAGGGAGGGGGAAAGTGAGGGAGAGAAACACATACACCCAGCTGGGGACCAGGCCTACAACCCAGGCATGTTCACCAACTGGGAATTGAACTGGCGACCTTTTGTTACTCAAACTGGCACTCAGCTCACTGAGCCACACCAGCCAGGGCTACAATATAGGCCCATTAACATTTAATGTAATATTGATTAGAGGCCAATACTATTAAAATGAAGAAAACATTTAAAATTTGGGTTCAATTATTTGGTTCAAGTAGGGACTACTGTCTTTATATGAGAAGTACTACTAAGTTATTTTGTCAGAATATACAATTCTGGATTTTGTAGGAGGAATTTACAATTAGTGAAGTAATGATGCAAGTTACTTAAAATATAAATCAATTTAAAATTTACCGGTGTAGGCCATTGAGTATGAACTTTACATATTCTCTTTCTGCTTCCAGAGTAGATAATACCTACAAAATTCTAGATATGTGGTTGTTCTCAAGCTTTGTTCATGGGGAAAAATGATCTTTCCATCTGTGTTTATCCCTCTGGTTTTCATATGCTTTGGTAGACAGGAGTGGATGCATATCTTGATGAGAGTCATACTCCTGGTGCAACATTTTACCTTTACAGAATCTGGGAAATGGGAAATCCTAAATTTAATGCATTAACTCTTTAGCAACTTGAATCCTTGGGCAAAAAAAAAAAAAAGGTTACATTTTGAACATCAAAAAATCATGGCACTTTACAATGCTTACTGTTTGCTGTTGTCCTAGAGAATGCCTTGGCTCCGAGCTTGAGGAGGGGTTTCAGTATAATGTGGGACATAAAACCAACGATGGAAAGAACAAGGCAGAATATAATCCAGTGCTAACTCATGGTTAGAGATGGCATACTATAGGGAGAACAACATGATACTGGAGTCAGGAGGCCCTTCTGGGAAAGTCAGGTGTTGGCCAGGCTTCCACGAATGAACCATACACTCTAGAGCAGGGGTGTCAAACTCATTTTCACTGGGGGCCACATCAGCCTCGAGGCTGCCTTCAATGGGCCGAAATAATTTTAGGACTGTGTAAATGCAACTACTCTTTAACTGTTAAGGAGCTGAAATTACATTCGGCCCTTCGAAGGCAACCGTGAGGCTGATGTGGCCCCTGACAAAAATGAGTTTGACACCCCTGCTCTAGAAGAAAGGGAAGAATGAGTTTCAGGCGAAGGGACCAGTACAAATGAAGGAAAAGATTACATGGCCAATGGGTTTGGTGCATTTAAGGAAAAGTTAAAGTTGAAGGTGTAGAATGTTCACTAAATCCAAATAAAAAGGAATTTCTACGCCAGGAAGAGAAATCTAGATTCTATTTCTCTCATCGCTGTAATTTAACTCATGTCTCATATTTTTATTTATTTCTTTGTTGCTTCATCTGTCAGTGTTAAACTGCAACTGAAATAATAGATATGTACAGAGCTACAGCAGTTACCATTTCTCATGATGATAGTGAAGGTTCAGTTTTTGTGCTTAGTTTTGAGCATGTATTTGCTTTGTGTGTTTGGAGTCTACAGTCTTTGCCTTTAGGAAATACATGTGTCATTTTTTTTTTAAATTATAATGGCTGATCTTGATGCTCACCCTCTATCTTTTCTACTGTTTTCCAGACAGTAGAGAGAGGACAGCTTCTGAAAGGCAATATCTGGTTCTCGCTTCAAGGGAGTGACAGAAAATACAGCTAGTAAAGATACACAGTGTGCTCCAAAGAAATGCCTGCGGGAGAAGTGTGGGGTGAGAAATCGGGAACAGCAAGGAACTTTCTTACTCCTTTTTGCCTCCAAGGCAGTGACGACTCTTGAGTTAATGAAAAATAAGTTATCCATTGTGTATCTTTCCTATTTCCCCACAAGTCTATAATTTTTGAGGGTTACCTACTCTACTAGGTTCCTTTTGTTTATAAATTGATCCTAACATGGAATTTTATAAGGCTTCTCCAGTATTCAGGTAACTTATGACACTATGACATATGATCAGTATTTAGTTCAGTTTAGGAAAGGCCTACCCCTGCTTCATTATATGTGATTATCTAGCTTAGCCCCCTGATTTTGCCCTCCTTCATAAAAACATAAACCTATCCATTGATTGTTTAAACTTGTCTACTTTGTGTACATTTTATGTTTAGTTGCCACAGATCTTTGTACGTTTGAAGCCTATTCCTTAGATAATATGCCCTTGGTATAGTGGAACTAGATTAGATAACTTTTGTTTGGATGTATACTGGTACCTTTTTTTAGGAGGTGGTGGTAAAACATTGACCTTATCCCAGAGTGATACTAAAGCACTGAAAAATACACAGTCAAGTTTATTTTCTTTGTTATGCATCCTTTTACCAAAAAAGCACCAACTGGAGACCACATTTTTCTAGGAAGTCTCCATTCATATATTGTCCAATGCAGTTTAGAATGGTAGTGAAGCTCCAGGGGACACCTACATTCTTAATGGCACACAACAAAGCGTTCATGAGGGCTTTCAGAGATTTCTCTTGGAATGGTACCAGATTACATATAGAATTCCTTTCTGAGAACCTTGGATATTTGACATTATACAGTAAAAAGTCTTGGAATGCATCAAGATGTTGAATCTTTTCAGCCATTCCATTGTTCCCATCTGAGAGAACAATTCTGAAGCCCTATTCCTGATCTGACATCTGAGACCTTAGTGGAACTTGCTTCAGCAATCAGTGGTTGAGTCATACTCAGACCCCACTAAAAGCAGTAAGTCCTACAGGTGGCCCTAAGAGCTTTCAGCTGTGTGTCCAATGGACACCATCACTGCTTTAGGCCAAATGCTGTTCCCTGCTTGCACCAGCTTGGGCTAGGTTCTCTTTCCCTCCATGGTTCAGAAGCCACAGGCATGATGTTATTTACCCAGAAAATATCTTCCAAATCTTCTTCACTGATCCCGGAGAGAGAGAGAGAGCTGCGAGCAATACAAAGGTTGTGAGAAGTCGAATCCCTTGCATCTTACTTGTTTCAGGTTCAATCACTTTATTTCCCGAGGCAGTCCTCTCAGCTCCACGGGCTCTTCCAAGGAGCTTGACCTCCATCTCTCTTTTTGCTTCCTGGTCTAGTTCATTATAGTCACTGATATAGGAAGCTGGCTGGTAAATGAGAGTGTAATGGAATATCATGGTATTAAATAGAACTCGATTATTCTTGCCAGTCTCAAAACTTACTGTAAACAAAACACCAGAATAATGATAGATTCTTTCTATGATGGGTCCCCATATAAAGGCAAAGAGGAAATGTGAGGAGAAATAAAATATTTTGTGTGGGGTTAGTTTTGGCTTCAGGGTGAGAAAAATAGAAGATACCATCCCTTTAGTACTAGAACTGCACAGTGGGGCTTATTATATTCTTTTGCCTGTACTGGGTGTTTCAGAGGCCACGGGGCCAAGTTAAACAGACTCATACAGCACTGTGGGCATCAGAATTATGCTGTGAACAGTGATGACCATTTGAAAACAAATGTCAGACTTTGTAATGAAGAGTTCTGTACTACAATACATGTACAAGTAAAAATTAGCATAAGTTGCAACTCTTGATAAGCTTGTTTAATTCATATTGACAACATCTGTTACTCAGTAATTGACTCAGGTGTTGAGGTTCTAGGGATTCTGGGTAAGTTGGCAAAACAAATGTATTTTCAGACTGTTTTGAAATAAATTCTGGTGCTTATAAAACACTGGCCTATCACACAGTATGACAAATATTACAAACTGCACTTATAACGAAAATATAATAGCTGTTATACAGTGTTTTGGGGGGATTTGGTTTTGTCTTGTGTCTTAGGAATCCCGAGGCTGTGCTAGCTCTCTAAGCGGGTCAAAGATCACCCTCTGACACAAAACACTTGTATAACCCTTGTATTCCCACTTGTGGGAAGGACAAGGAAAACAGCCATTTCTGAGACAAGAAGGGTTTGTGATTTTATTTTTATTTTTGCAAGTTTAAACAGTTTAATGGTTGGTCACTCAAATAAAAACACAGGATAAACTTAACTATTTACAAGGACAAACGTTTTCACTTCTGCTACACCCTTGCCATTCAGGGTAGAGAATCACCCAGGAAACCTGATTGTTGCATCTCCCTAAGAGCACAGGGAAGAAGCCTCCGAAGTCATAGCCACTCCCAGCTCCAAAGGGAAACCTCACAGCAACCTTGGAAGGTTATTTTTTTCCTCTTTCCAAGCAGTTCCCTCCCCGAGGATGCCAGGTTTCGTCCTTGCACTGTTCTTCATCCAGCTAACCCGAGTCAAATGCCTCAGGGTTCCCTAAAAGGTGCTCCCTAGTTAGCCAAGGCTGAATGCCTTCATATTATTGCAACCAATATTGGAGTTTTGAGTTAAACATCTAACCCGGTTGAATTCTTGATGGCCTGAGATAGAGAAGCGGCATTGCCCAGAGTCTCAGACGCAGAAGTCCACAACCGGTCTTGCTCCGTCGGCCACAGGCCCTCGCGGGCGCTGGCCTAGAACAAGACATTTCTGGGCCTGTTGTTGGGGACTTTCCCCTTGGAGCTCAACCTGCGAACGGCCTCCCTGAGATGCTTGGGTTGCAGCGGGGGTGTTTCCCCCCACCTCTCGCACACGTCCAGGGCCTCTTCCACCACCTCCCCGACGAAGACCTTGGCCAGTCCGGCCACGGCAATGACCACGTTCGGCGACACCGAGGTGCCAGCGGCTCTCTGGATCAGATGTTTCACCGTTGCCCTGGGAAAGGCCGAGCAGCGATACATTTCATAGCGGTTCAGCTGCTCCTCCGACAAAGAATTAAGGAGTTTCACCTTCTGAGCCTCCTCGTTGTCCACCTCGCGTTTTCTCTCTTTCTCTATGGCGTTTCTTTTCAGTCTCTTGGCGGCGGGAGGAGACTCTTTCCTCGCACCTGCCCACGGGTCCGAGTCTTCCTGACGCCTGATCCCGCCTTGATGGTCAGAGGCTTTCTGCAGTTCCTCAGATCGGTGCACCGGGATTCTGCGGGTGTCGCTGGTCCCGGGGCCCTGGCGAGCGATGATGGCACGCTGACGGCACACACCCGTGTCCAAAGCTTTGGTGCTGGAGGACAAGCCGGCCTTACTCATCCCGGCGCTGGAAGACACAGGGCCTTGTGCTGGGATGTCTGAGCAGCGACCTGCAACTGGAAGGCTGAAAAGTGCTGGGGTCAGGTTTGCTGTTTGTTTTCTATCAATATCTAGCCTGTGCCCACAGACAACCCCACCGACTTACTGGTTGCAGTCTGTAGGTCAGAAACCTCAGTGTGGTCCCAGTCCTCCCTTCTTCAAAATCGCAGCAGAGAACCAACCTCGGGATTGCAGGTCTGACCTGCGATCTGTGGGACTTGAGGGAGGCCCAGTCTCTTATATAGGGCTCAGGTGATGGGACACACCCAGTCGGATAATCTCCTGGGATTTCCTTAGTCACCTGACTTCTAATCCCCTCAGGGGAACTGCCACCCACGCCTTGGGGGAGGGGCAAGCACCCTGGCCTGCAGCACAGGGTTGTCTGGGAACCTTGTGGTTTCTGAGAATTGTGTTGCTACCCGGTTCGTGCAAGTTCACATTTCATGGCAGTAACTACGGGAAACATATGTAGTACAAACAAGATCCAGCTCTCAAAACCAAACCAAACTAAACCAAACCAAACCTTTTTGACTCACTAGCAGTTATTGTATCCGGTTGTAGGAGAACACACTGGACAAAGAGGCAAATGTGGAAACTTAAATCTCCCTCCTCTGTCTATGCTTTTGATTGTGTTATGATGGTCATTTGACAACTTTTCATAAAGAGAAAGCTTGGTACTCTCTCTCTTGAGCATGGATATGGTACCTGGAGTGGTTTATCCTTCTTTTGCCCAGCATGGAAGTGCCTTCAATTCTAGACACCTTGACCTTCCTGAAATATTGAACCTATGCCGAAACTGCTGCCTCCAGGCTTAACATACTCGAAATGACATTCTGAGAAAAATAAAACTCGAAATGAGTGTGCTGTGATAGACTTTCTGACATTCGTCTGAAATTTATGACAACTGATAAGTCATTTTCAAAGTCTTAAAGATCATGAAATTCCATGACAAAAAAATTTGCGAAGTAAATGAACACTATTATATTTTGTACAGGGTGTGGCAAAAGTAGTTTTATAGTTGTGAGTATGTGAAACACAAAAGTTTATTCTTGTATTATTATTTATTAATTATTGTATTACTTTCCACATTAACAATAGTAAACCTACTTTTGTCTCACCAAAAGTATTTTAACTATGATTTTTTTATAATAGTGCTTTGATTCAGAAGAGTATATTATTAGGGATTAAATCTTATGGCATTAACTAAGAGTGTTTTGGGAATTTAAGTTGCCATTTTTGATTGACATTTGCTGTCAATGTTAGTTTAGATTTTTTAAAATGAGCTTATTGAAAGATAATTGAGCATGTCTACATTTAGAGTGAATTTTGAGAAATTGTTAAAAATAAGATTACCAATTTATTTGAATGTAAAGATTGAATCTTAGACATAAGTTTATGAGTGTTATGTTGTATAATCAAGAGGAGCGAAATCTGGACACTAAGAAATGTTATCTCTTGAAAGTAATCTTGGTTACCCAGGTTGATCAGATTTTAATTGTCAATGTGTCAAAGAAAAGACTTTGCCAATATGGCAGAATGACACACAATGGATACCATTACAAGAATCACGGGATAGAGTATTGAGTAAAAAATATATTACTCTAGCCCTGGCTGGTGTAGCTCAGTGGATTGAGCACGGGCTGCGAACCAAAGCATTGCAGGTTCGATTCCCAATCAGGGCACATGTCTGGGTTGCAGGCCATGGCCCCCAGCAACAACACATTGATGTTTCTCTCTCTCTCTCTTTCTCCCTCCCTTCTCTCTCTAAAAATAAATAAATAAAATCTTAAAAAAAATAAAAAAAAGCAAAAAGGGTAAAATAAATTTAATAAAATATATATATATATATATATATATATTACCCTGACTGGTGTGACTCAGTGGATTGGGCATTGTCCTGCCAACTGAAAGGTTGCTGGTTTGATTCCACATGGGGCACATGCCTGGGTTGTAGGCCAGGTCCCTGGTTGGAGGGTGTGTTTCTCTCACACATCAATATTTCTGACTCTTTCTCCCTCCCTTCCCCTCTCCCTAAAAATCAATGAATATAGTCTTAAAAATACATCAATATATGATAGAACAATTAGTTTTATTACTCCTTTAGGATGCTTCCAAAATAAACATTAAAGACACCAAACAGTTATTGATGAACTCACTAAATATATCAAACTATTCCTTACAGCCCTGGATGGTGTAGCTCAGTGGACTGAGCGTGGGCTGCAAACCAAAGGGTCGCTGGTTAGATTCCCAGTCAGGGCACAGGCCTGGGTTGCAGGCCAGGTGTCCAGTGCGGGGGCACATGAGGGGCAACCACACATTGATGTTTCTTTCCCTCTCTTTCTCCTTCCCTTCCCCTCTCTTTAAAAATAAATAAATAAAATCTTTTAAAAAACCCAACTATTTTTTACTTTTTAAAGCTAAGATGACTCAAGTACCATATTAATGAGGTCAAGATCATATCTTAGATCTGTGGATAACCTAGTTAATTTGCACAAAGAATATTACAGTTTGTAATCATGGATTTTATGACTCAGATCACTTATCAGGTACGTGTCACCAATTGCAATGGACAAATGAGAAAAAGAGCACAGATGTTTCAGAGAAAAATCCATCACTACTGAGAAACAACTTTTAACTCCTGCAAGCATAGAATTACAGAAGGTAAATGTCTTAGAGGTCTTAGAGCTTAGTAGTTTTTGATAAATGTTTTTAATTGCAGAATTCTTTGTTCAAGTTCTCCTTGGATGTTTAATAGGTAAATTAGAGAGTTGCACTGGCTGATGTGAGAGTAAGTGAGGGGTCTGTGAACCAACAGCCTGATGATTCTTATGCCTTCTCCCTCCCTTAACCCCTATTCTTTCTTCTTCAATCAAAACTGTCCTCTGAAATAATTTTTAAAATGTGAGAATTCAAATACTGTGAAGCACCATTGTTAAATCTCAGATCTAGTAAGATGCTCTCATTTTTGAATTCAGAAAATGGCAACTTGTCTGAGATTATTCAGTCAGGCAGTAGCAAACCTGGTACTAAAACTGAAGTAGGAGAATTCTTTCTATATAGTATAATTCAATGATTCATATTTATTTATCTCCCATGTAATAGACTAAACTAAGTATTCAACATAGGTGAAAAGCTGTGCTCTGCATCATTAGTGACTCAGGGGTCTAGATTTGTTCCAGTCACATTATTCCATCTTCCCCTTGGGCAATGTCATCATTTCCATGGTGGAAATTTGACTGCAAAGGATTCCAGGTGGCACTAAATTTTTTTCCCTTTAAAAAAGTTTAAAAATGTATTTGTGGTAAGATACACATAACCATCTTAACCTTTTTAAGTATAAAGTTCAGTAGTGTTCGGTCAATTCATATGATCCTGCAACCAAGTTCTAGAACTTTCCTTATCCTGCAAAACTGAAACACTGTATTCATTAAATAACTCCCCATTTTCCACTCCCCTTATCCTCTGAAAGTCATCTTTCTACTTTGTGTCTTTAAGAATTGGATTATTTGAGGAAACTCATATAAATGGAATCATACACCATTTGTCTTTTTATGCTTAGCTTATCTCAGTTAGCATGATGTCTTCTGTGTTCATCCATGTTGTAACACATCAGAAATTCCTCCCCTTTTAAGCCTGAATAATATTACCTTGAATGTATAATCTAAATTTGCTTTTCCATTCATCTGTCAATTGATAGTTGAGTTGCTTTCACTTTCACCCATTGTGACTAATGATGCTATGAACTTGAATGCATAAATATCTCTTAGAGACCCTGCTCTTAATTAATTCTAACATAGCGACATAGCTATGTTTCACATAGATCTTGGCTTGAACCTGATGATTTGGATGTTAACATTAGGTGACTTTATAAATGTTTACTCTGGACTCAGAACTCAGAAGAAGCATGTTGTAGTAGCATAAGAGTTTTACACAGAAAAAAAAAAGCATTATAGTGAAAAGAGACTACTAACTTATAGAACTTATAGGAAAGTGAATCTAATACTTTTTTAGAAATTCAGCTTTGATTGACATACATTATATTAGTTTCAGGTGTACAACACAATGATTCAGTATTTGCATATATTCCAAAATGATCACCATAATAAATCTAGTTAACATTCATCACCCAAGACATCATTATGTGTCTCTAATTTTAAAATGAAAAGATACAAAGAAGCTACTAGGTGAGTAAATATAAATTACCATGATTAATATTTTTATATTGCTACATAAGCTGAAAAATGGTGTTTAGAACCTAACCACCCCCTACTTCCTAATTATCCCATTTACATAAGACATAAAAGCTATTTACAGATTACATGAACATTAATTCTGCCTTTTACTTTTAATGCATTTTTTGTTTATTTCTCCATGTATTAGACCATACAGTCATATGAATAACAATAGAGATATGTTATGAGAAATGCCTCGTTAGGCAGTTTCACTGTTGTGCAAACATCAGAGGTTTACACAAACCCGAATGATATAGCCTACTACTGTAATGGTACGTGTTATACTTTTATACACATGGCATCACAGGAGGTTTGTTTATGCCAGTATCACTACAAACACATGAGAAATGTGTTGTGCTATGATGTTGCGATGGCTACAATGTCACTAGGCAAGAGGAATATTTCAGCCCCACTATAATCTTGTGGAAACACCATCAGATGTAGTTTGTCCTATATGTGGTTCATTGATTGAAAAGTAATTATGTGATGCATGATGTAGGGATAATGAAAACAGTGATAAAGTCAGAACTTGACATATATACACATACAAATACACACATTATGGTTTAATTCCAAATAATTTAGTTTACTAGGCTTGCTGAAATATTCTCCTCTTCTCTCTTCTTTTTCTCTCCTCTTATCTATCTATCACCTATCTATCCATCTATCTACCTATCATCTATAGTCTATCTATATTGGGTTTTAAATATCCAAATGTTTCTAGGAGAA